CACAGGGTTCGAATCTTGGCTGCAATGGCTAAAGCTGTCTGGCTAAGGGCAAGCCCTCACACTCCATGGGATGCAGCTTCATCTCTTGTAAAATGAGGGCATCAGACTACCTAGGCCCAAGAATACCCTTACACTCTAGCCTGAAGCAGCCTCAATCTGGAAATCAGACAGGGGATGGAGAGCTCTGCTTCTTGGCCAAGGAACACCCATGGCTAGCATTCTCAGTGAGTGCCACTCCCCACCTCATTCCACAACAAAAGACCAAGGAAGGGGTTCTCAGCAGTCTTCCAATGGGCAGACTGAAACTCCAGCTTTATGGAGGATCTGGGATGATGGGGAAGTAAGAACACTGACAAATTCCACTCATGGGGGTGAGGGGTGGGGGCTACAATATGTGTCATTTATAAAGCACTTGACCTAACCTCCTTCACGTCTCACAACAACCCGGGGAGACAGGTGTCAACATCTATTACAAAGGAAGAAACTGAAGCTCGGAGAGGGTGAAGTGGCTTGCCCAGGATCACGCTAATGTCTGAGGAGGTGTGTGATGGCAGGTCTTCTCGAGCGCAAGATTCCACAACTCCACCCACTCCACCATACTGCTCCCAATGGGATGTGCCCCAACTGGGGCCCACCATGCTCCCAACCACACTGATCAACCCAGCTCCTTCAACAACTGCCCGCTTTGGGGATGCTCCGCAGCACTAAGCAATGGAAGGCAAAGTCAAAGGGAAACTGGTGATTCTTCCTGACTGTTGAATACAGTGGACTCCAGTGGAAGGGCAAATATGGGGAGTGAAGGAGTTGGATAAGAAGGCAGCATCTGAGAAAAGGATTTGTGCTTCTGGACCATGGCTTAAGATTCAGGAAGGTGCTCCTGGCCGGGGACACACTGTCTGGCACCCTGCAAGAATAATCCAAAGGGCTTTAAACTCAAAAGGAATCGTGCATCTCTAACAATCTGGATGCCAAACAGAGTAGCTACAACACAGAAATTAGGCATTTAATAAGTGCGTGCCAGCTAATGGATGGGAAGAACCACACAAATCTAAACCCAACAAAAATCTAGGACAGGAACAACAAAAAAGGTCTCAAAAGTAGCCAAGGATGGGCAAGGCAAAGTGGAGCTCCTGGAGGAAGCAGGCAAACCTAATTTTAGAGGCATCCCCGCCAGGATGGACACATCCCCAGAATATGGCCCTGGAAGGCAGACCCAATCCCAAAGGCACAGGAAGACCACGATGAACTTTCAGCTCAAGACGAACAGAAGTATGCTACAGAACATCTGAACAGAGAGAAAACAAGTCTACTGGAAGAACAGACTCAAGTCTGGTGGGGAAGCATCATGGAGCAGTGATGGATTCCACCACCTCCCAGACATCCCACCCGCCCAAAGCAGAGCGGCTAACAACGTCTCGGCTGGCCTGAAGGATCATTTCTTGCTGCTGGGCCAAATGATCACCAGTGGGAGGTACTGCTGACTGAGACAGAAATGAGGGGAGTCTTGGGGGGAGGGAGGAAAGGCAGACATAATCCACAGTCACCCACTGAGGCTCTGAGAGGACAGATTCAGAGAAAGCCTATGTAAAATCCCATCTCCCGAAGTACTGCAAGGGAAAACAGCTCAGAAGGGAGAGGAAGCATTCAAGAATGAAAACCCAAGATGGGACGGGAAAAACAATTCCAACAAAGCAAAGGGGAACTCATTTAAAAAGAATGGTGCAGATTTCACAGGGAGCTCATCAGGCATCTGATTTTAAAAGGAAATGTTTAGAACACAGAACCAGAATAGAGAACACGAAGCTCAGAATCAACAGAGTGTGGCAACAAACGCTAAGAACCAGGATCAGACAAAGGACCGAGTACGCGTAGAACGGATGGTAAAAAGAGGCATCGCAAATAAGCAGCAGTCCACTGCTCAGCTTAAATGGGACAAAAAAGTAAATTACGCAATTCATACTTTATTTGGTCAACCATGGAGAATCATCTTTGAACTGGAAGAGACAAGAGAAAAAAAATCCAGTGTAAAGACGAAAGCCACTTAGGGAGATTAAAAAAGAACTCAGTGCTGCTCTTGGGGGGTTAAGTTCCCTCCCAGCCAAGTCACCTTTCACACCCAGAAAAGTAGCCAAGACCATCAGTCAGCCCGAGGGGCCCTGGCAGGCACACACGGACACCGCTGGTGCAGTCGCCCAGCAGCCCGTCTCAGAGAACAAAGTGGATAAAGGGAGAACGTACGAACCACCTGACTGGCACAGCTGGATTCAAGGATGCTCGTTAAATGGGAGGCTCATCACGGCAGGAGGCTTCCAGTGGGGTTTACCACAGGACCTGACGCTCGCTCCTGCACTGTCTGACATTTTTATCAGTGGCCAGGGCAAAGGCACAGGTGGTACACCTGTCAGATTTTCAGACGATGCAAAGTGGGGAGAGACGACAAACGCACTGCAACAGCGGGTTCAGTCTAATGAGATGCAATTCCACGGGGATCCCTGGGTGTGTGTGTGTGTGTGTGTGTGCGCGTGTGTGCACACACTTTAGTACAAAAAAATCAACTTCAATAACATGAGAGGGGGCAAGGCAGTCATTGCTCTGAAAAGGTCGGGATGTTTCCATGCACTACGAGTTCAGCGCGTCTGCAGGGGAACCCGGCACCAAAAAGCGGAGATGGCTGGAGGCTGCCCGAGGCCGCGGCTCACTGCACTCGACCCACGGTCGGACTGGAAAACTGCATTTGGACCGAGGCATCCCAGTCTAGCAAGGAAATTACTGAGCAAACCGGGCAGCAAGGAGAAGCTTTCAGACCATTTCTTGGGTAAGTTCTAGAGATGTCAAGCACATGGCCCACAACACTCTCCAGCGTCTCCCAAATCACAATAAAATGTAATTGGGAAATATTTAACAAAGTAAATGAAAATACAATAGAACGTAGATAACATTAACATGTGGCTTTCTAAGTCAACAGGGACTTTCTAAGCCTGCAGGGATCTTTTACCTACATGCAGAGGCCCTTGTTTCTTTTTGAGTTGACACCATCTTGGAGGATTCCTTTTTGGGGACAGGTTACACCAAAAAGCCACAGAGGTCCATTACAACTCAGAAAACCTGGGATTCTGTGAAAGGTTAGTCGTGTCAAACATTCTGAAGATAAAAAGAAGGATGAGGATTGAAACAAGGGTCATTATATTTCAAAAGTCACTGGTGATTTTTTAGAGATCAGTTACAGTTGATGGAGAAATCTAACTGAAAAGCATTGAGGGGATGGTGGATGGTGGTGAACTGGAAATGGGTGTAAACAGCATTCTTTATCAAGTTTGGCAGTGAAGAGAAAAACAGAACAAAGGGGAGCCCACCAGATGGGACAGAAGGGTTTTTTTTTAAAGTCCTGCATAGACCTGGGCATTTGGGTAGGCAGCTGAGAAGCAGCAAGGTTTAAGGGACAGACTGAATATGAAGCATTGAGGGAAAGCGCAGGATTGCTGGAGAGGTCTTTCATAGACAGTAGGAGCTGGAACCGAAAGTGAGAGAAATTAGCTTTAAGCAAGAAGGAGAGAAACTAGTCAGAGGCGAATGGCTGCTGCTGCTGAGAATGGTAACAGAGCAGAGCTGGCTGGGCGTGAGCTCCTATCAGAACGCCATCATTTTCTCTGACTTATCACCTCTGCAGTACAAACACGAGCACAACAAAGCCGGCTTTACAGCTACTAATGCTGAAACAAATGAATTCCAAGCATGAAATGAGGATCTTTTCATTACTCCCCTTCAAGTCTCTCTCAAGACTCTCCATTCATTCCCATTCCTTGGAGTCACATTATAACGGCCCCTCTGGTTCCTCCTGTTTTATTCTATACAGGCCTTTCCAGATTTTGTCATATTCCTCAAATGTGTTTCTCTCAATCGCAGTCCAATATTCCATTAAACTGACGGAATGTAACCGAATGATTATTTATAACCTGCCCCGATAGCTGCCACTGAAGTTTCTTCCATGTATTTTTCTTTTATGTGAGGCAACTGGGGTTAAGTGACTTGCCCAGAGTCACACAGCTAGTGAGTGTTATGTGTCTCAGGCCAGACTTGAACTCAGATCCTCCTGACTCCAGGGCTGGTGCTCTAGCCACTGCCCCATGTATTTTTTTTATGACAAAGAATACTGCTATGGAAAGTTTTGACCAGTCATTTTTGTTTTTGATAACACCTTAAAAGTATATTCCCCGAAAAGGAATGAGAGTGATAGAAAGGTTAGCGCTCAAAAACTTGCCGTGGTGTGACCTGGAGCTGCTACTGTAGGAGGTGTCACACCTGGGAAGCTTTGGTCAGGTTCAAGGATGGGAGTGGAGCTGGGAAGCCTCTGTGGCCTGGCTGGTGATTGCAGGAGACACAGCATAGCGGGCACCCCCATTAGCGTGGGGGAGAAGGGACTGCAGGAGACCAACACAAGACTGCTCTCTGCAGAGCCCCAGGCACTATTTATACCAGGAGGTAAGGGATTTATGGGAGGAGAGGGAAGAGGAGGTGGTTTGGGGTCTTAGGCCTCAGACTGACAAGCATTTGCTTGGATTATATTTTCTCAGACTCAAGTCACCACTAACCTACAGTGATCAAGGAGGGAGGTGCCTGGGGTCTTGAGAGGAAATAGCTTGAAACAACTACCAAAGGGAATTAATATGTATCTGCTTCATCTATATTGAGGGCTCTTAACCTGAGGTCCACGAACTTAAAAAAAACCATTTTCATAACTGTATTTCAATGTAATTCATTTCCTTTGTAACCCACATATTTTATGCATTTAAAAGCATAGGTCTAAGAAGACGTCATAGCCTTCAGTAGACTGCCGAAGCGGTCCGCAACACCAAAAGAGTGGAGAAGCTCCGTTTACAGGGTCCTTCTTTAGTCTGATTCCTCTGGCGTTCAGTAAACTCTGCACTAGCTCTGTTCTGAACTAGTTCAGTAGCTCTGGCGAGAATCCTCTTCCTATTCATTCCGGATGGTCAGCGACCCGTACTACAGGGGAAGGCCTTTCCTCAGTCATCAGGTTCTTTTCTCCTGTATGAATGATACTGAGTGAGGTGTTTACTCTGCAGGCAAGCTTTCCCTCAATCATTACATTCATAAAGGTTCTCTCCCGTTTGGATCCTCCACTGCTGGGTAAGGTGTGAACCACGATGGAAGGGCTCCCCGAGTTCATAAGGCTTCCCTCCTGCATGAATACCCTGATGTTCACCAAGTCCTGCGCTCCATCGAAAGGCTTTCCCACATCCATAAGGTCTCTCCCCAGTATGAACTGTCTGATGTTGAGTAAGCTGTGAGCTCTGGGGGAAGGACTTCCCACATTCATTACACTCATAAGATTTCTTTCCAGTATGAATCAACTGATGTCGAGTAAGGTGTGATCTATGGCGGAAGGCCTTCCCACATTCATTACATTCATAAGGTTTATCTCCAGTATGAAGTCTCTGATGCTCCATAAGTCCTTTGCTCAGGCGGAAGGCCTTCCCACATTCATTACATTTATAAGGTTTCTCTCCAGTGTGAATTGTCTGATGTACAGCTAGTTGTGTTCCCAAACGGAAAGCTTTTCCACATTCGCTACATTCATAAGGTTTCTCCCCAGTATGTATTCTCTTATGACGAGTCAGCTGTGAGCTCTGGGGGAAGGCCTTCCCACATTTATTACATTCATAAGGTTTCTCCCCAGTATGAATTATCTGATGCTGAGTAAGTTGTGAGCTCTGGCAGAAGACCTTTCCACATTCATTACACTTGTAAGGTTTCCCCCCAGCATGAATTATCTGATGTTGAGTAAGCTGTGAGCTCTGGGGGAAGGACTTTCCACATTCATTGCATTCATAAGGTTTCTTTCCCGTATGTATCATCTGATGCCTAGTAAGTTGTGAGCTATGGCGGAAGGCTTTCCCACATTCACCACATTCATAAGGTTTATCTCCAGTATGAAGTCTCTGATGCTCCATAAGTCCTGTGCTCAGGCGGAAGGCCTTCCCACATTCATTACATTTATAAGGCTTTTCTCCAGTATGAATTGTCTGATGTTGAGTGAGCTGTGAACTCTGTCGGAAGGCTTTTCCACATTCATTACATTTATAGGGTTTCTCTCCAGTGTGAATTGTCTGATGTACAGTAAGTTCTGTGCTTCGTGCAAAGGCCTTCCCACACTCATTACATTCGTAAGGTTTCTCTCCCGTATGTATCCTATGATGTCGAATGAGCTGTGAGCTATCCCGGAAGGCCTTCCCACATTCATTACATTTATAAGGTTTCTCTCCTGTATGAATTGTCTGATGCTGAGTAAGTCCTTTTCTCTGGCGGAAGGCCTTTCCACATTCATTACATTCATAAGGTTTATCTCCTGTATGAATTGTCTGATGTCGACTAAGTCCTGTTCTCTGGCGAAAGGCCTTCCCACACTCATGACATTCATAAGGTTTCTCTCCAGTATGAATTCTCTGATGTTGAGTAAGTCCTGTTCTCTGACAGAAGGCCTTCCCACACTCATGACATTCATAAGGTTTCTCTCCAGTATGAATTCTCTGATGTCGAGTGAGCTTTGAGCTCTGGGGGAATGCCTTCCCACATTCATTACATTCATAAGGTTTCTCTCCAGTATGGATTCTTTGATGCTCAATAAGTCTTGTGCTCAGGCGGAAGGCCTTTCCACATTCACTACATTCATATGGTTTCTCTCCAGTATGAATTCTCTGATGTAGAATGAGATGTGTGCTCTGTCGGAACACCTTTCCACATTCATTACATACATAAGGTTTCTTCTCTCCAGCAAGCATTTGATGATTTTCAAGAACGTCTGAATTATGATTAAAGGACTTTCCACATTCTTTAAATTTAGAAAGTATTTTCTTTGAGGAGATTCTATTGCATTTTTTTAGGTCTGAATACAGTCTGAAGCTCTTCCTATGTGCAATATATTTATCGAGATTCTTGCCTATGGATACTCGCTGCTGTGGGAAAAGGACCGGTCCTAGACTAAAACTTTTACTATATTTATTACATTCATGGCCTCTCACCTTACTGGGAGGCTTGATCTTTACTTGTTTAGCACACGTCTCTTCACTCTTCTGCTGCTTGTCTAACGTGGAATCCCATTCCCAGGCTTCTCCCAACTTGGAAGCGTAGGAACCATTCCTTGTGAGTCTTTTCCCAGATGATTCTTCCACAGAGAGGATCAGCTGTGGGGCCGACTCCTTGATTTCATGCCTCATCCCCCAATCTGGAAGAAATAAAAGCTGCAATTATCTTCTCTATCCTCTGCTGTTTTTTAAATGTTTTCTCAATTACATGTAAAAGCAATTTTTACCATGTGTTTTTAAAAATTTTGAGTTCCAAATTCTCTGCCTCCCTCCCATCCTTCTCCTTGTGAAAGCAAACAATTTGCGATAGATTATACATGTGCAGTCATGCAGAACATATTTCCATTATTCTACTGTTTTTTCAGATGTGTTGCATATTCCATCAAGAAAAAAATATTTTAAAAAAATGTAAGTAATGAAAATGAAACCTAATGCTTTATAGTGCTTATAAGACAGTGTTTCACATACCTTAAAATGTGATGTCACATATTTTATTAACCCCAAGTACAGTTTATACCTCGTTATTGGTGGCTGTACATCAGTTGCTACACATTGCAGATGATACGACTGAAAACCAGACTGATGCAGTGACATTCCCAAAGAGTCACTGTCAAACACAGTGAAAGCTCACCTGTTTCTTCCATGGTTATAAAAGACAATAGGTGGAAATCACAAAAAAGCCACTTTCAGGTCAACACAGAGAAGGAATGAAATGCAAGGATTTTGCTCTTCTTATCTTTAGAGAAAACAAGTCCTTCTTGAAGAGTCACAACTTAACTTTTTGCCCCCGGGATTGCAGTGGTTTAGGCTGAGAGTAAGTCTGGGCCAGGGCCTGGGGTCATTAGGCTTTTTTTTTTTTTGGTGAGGTGACTGGGGTTAAGTGACTTGCCCAGGGTCACACAGCTAGTAAGTGTTAAGTGTCTGAGGCTGGATTTGAACTCAGGTCTTCCTAACTCCACAGGCTTTTTCATAAGTTTTCCCCCAGGAAAGGAAGTAAAGGAAGAAGGGCTCCAGCAGTAGTAACTACCTGTGGGTCCCCCCGGATAGGTTTTTGGTAGCCTGGTACCCGGGGGCTCCCACAGTAATTCTGCGGGAATGCCTAGACTGCACACAACTGAATTACGGGACACCCGACACAAATCTGCAGGCGGTTTAATGGGTGACTTCTGTTGGCTCGAATTTGGCTCTTTTCATTACTGCAAAGTGAAAAAGTTAAGGCTAGCAACTGTGTGTTTGTCTGATTGTTTTTTCCGTCTTTCCAGAAAACATTTTTGTCCTGTAAGACCATCTTGTTTAGTGTTTGTGGATTCTGTTACTTGGAAAGATTTTTAGACAGAAAATGCAGCCAGTCAGAAAGACTGCTAAAAGGCTGCAGACAAAGAGTTTAGAATGCTGGAAATGATGAATGAAGTTTTCTACTTGAAGCGGTTGTCCCAATAAGCCAAACTAACTCCCACTTCGGGCTTTCAGGGGGAGATTAGGTTAAAAAGAAATAATTTGCAAGATACTTTTTTTTCTTGTCATTTCAGCCACATTGGAAATATAGAAATAAAGTCAGATAATTAAAGTGTATAGAACTGCTAAAAAAAAACATCTTAGCAGATTTTAGAGGTTTGGAGACTAGACATTAATCATTAAGAGATTTAGAGATTAATCATTTTCACTTACCAACATATGCTGAAATATCTCAGTGAGTTTTGGGGTACCACTGCAGAATTTGTTTTAAGGAAAAATAAGAATTTAATTCTGTAAAAGTTTTAAGGGTAAATAACAGATTATTCACCCCCCTGCAGATTGACGGAGCTATTATTTTAGTGTAATGAAGGCAACTAGTTTGAAAGCAAGCCCAGGTGCAGGGATGAAAAAAAAAACCTGTGGTTTGCAGCTTAAATTTACTTGAACTTAACACTTCCTTGACAATGAAAAGAGAAAAGATTGTTTAAATCAGAGACCCCTGTCCTGACCTTATTAACCCCTCTCATCTCAGATCAGGTTCTCAAATAAAGGTGCTGGAAAAAAAACATACTGGAAAAATGCAGGGAAACCTGAGTTACATTTCCATCTCAGAAAGGTATTAGCTGTGTGATCTTAAATTATCTTGTCTCTTGTTTGCCTCAGTTGCCGGGCCTGTAAAAAGGACAATAATAATGGTATCCATCTCCCAGGGCTGTTGTGAGGATCAGATGATATTGTGATTATGAAGTGCTTAACACAATGCCTGGCACATGGTAAGCACTCTATGTTGATTATTATTATCGTTGTGATTTAATTGAATGTAATTATGCCCTCCTTGAAAACTCTAAAGTGGGTTTTAGATGTTATTAGTATAAAATAACAAACATAATAAGATTAATGATTTTTATATGGGATTAATTTGGAAATGCATTCAGCTGAATTGATGTCATCTAACTGGTATAAGCTTTGTTTCATATTTTAAATACATGATCTTGTATATGTTCTTAGTATTTCTAAATTCTCTTACATTATGAAATTTGAGAGACCATTGTATCAGAAATACTGTTAGACAAACAACTTCTTTTTTTATCCAGAGGCTGTTAGATTATAAATTGAGCTGTTAAAAGAATGTGATAAAAAACAGACATTTGAAAACATAAATATTTAATGGGGTATATTTTGTTTTAAAACAGATAATAAGTTTACTATAATAATGAGTTTTCATTGAAAATTTTTGGTTATCACTTATGAAAATTATGAAAATGTACAGGGTGATTTTACTAAAGATATAACTTCAATATATTAATATGAGTCAACTATCAGGAATTTGCAATGTCTGAAACCCCAGAATGTGGTTAGTTTTAATTTCTAAGTAAAAGACAAAAGAAATGTTAACTGTTAGGGAAACATGAGAAAATTAATAATATCTAAGCTCTAGGCTGTGATTAGTGAAACTTTGCTATTTGAGGTAAAAACTTTTGGGACTATAATTTACTACTGTTTTGTTTTACAGGGATGGTTGTCTGAATTGTTATGAAGCCAATAGGAGAAAATGGCAGGTGCTGCAGTCTGGGAACTGTTAAAGATGGATATCTGTCCCTGGGAAAAGTTTTGGGGAGACCCTGGCACAGCCTAAGGCAGGAGCCTCTTGACTCAGTTTACCCATTATGCTGTTTCCTTTTTAAACAGGGAATTTTCCCACCAGGTTAATCCTCTGACTTGTTTTTGATACCCTGTGATTACATGATTGACTGTCAGATATGATTCATGCCTGGAATCAAACAGAGGTGAGGGAGTTTTTCCCCATTAAGTTTTCTGTCAGGTCAGTCTGTGCCCTTGAGGACACAAGTCTTTTTTTTTGGCAAGGCCATTGGGGTTAAGTCACTTACCCAGGGTCACAAAGGTAGTAAGTGTCAATTTCAAATGTCTGGTCTGAGGCCAGATTTGAACTCAGGTCTTCCTGACTCCAGGGCCAGGGCTCTCTCCACTGCACCCCCTGGCTGCACCTCAGGGGATAAGTCTTGACACTGTTACAAAACTATGTCCCTCCTTTTCCTTTCAGAGCAAATTTCTATAATCAGGGTAGGCTGAGCAGTAGAAATTTTTTAAGTACAATACTAAATCTATTAATTAATAGATTGATACTGGAACATCTCTTTACTATAATAGGATGCAAGTGTGAAAAATCTTATAATTTTAATCTGTACTTGTGGTCAAATTATAATATCAGGATGACGTCCTCCTAAACGGAGAATTAGACAAAGTAGTAAGATAAAGAGGTAATGTAAAAGTTTTCTGGGCGGCTAGATGGTGCAGTGAATAGAGCTCTGGCCTTGGAGTCAGGAGGACCTGAGTTCAAATCCAACCTCAGACACCTAACATTTATTAGCTGTGTGACCCTGGGCAAGTCACTTAACCCCAATCGCCTCACCAAAAAGCAAAAAAAAAAAAAAAAAAAGTTTTCTACTTAAATGGAACACTAAATATTGAAAAGACAAAAGGATTAGACTATTTTCTCTAAGAAACATATATATGTATGTATGTATACATATATGTACATGTACATGTATATGTATATGACTGGCTTCCAAATATATCTATTGTAGAAATTCTGGCTTTGATTATGTAAGTTCTCAAAACTGCATTAAAGATTTTATGTACAAAGTTGTACTGATAATTGTAAAGAAAGTGATATTATTTCCCCACTTTTGAAGTATTTGTCTGATAATTTTAAAAAGAGAGGAGAGTTCATTTAGACCCTTGTGAATTTTTTTTTAAGCTTCTTAAATCAGATATAAGGTTTAGGTAAAGATAAAAAATAAGTGGTATATAAAAATCAAAATTCTCTGTAGTCTCAGGATTGGAGAACCAAATTTAAGAGACTGTACTAAATTGGATTCAGTCTTGTTGCTGGCAGATTTTAATTTTGAAATCTCTAAAAGTTATTTGGAACTAGAGAAACAGCAGCCCTTTCAGAGCTGTCTTGGGAATGAGGTCTATTCCAGAATGTCCAAGAGAAGATTTCCAGGGACCAGACGACTGCCCGGCACATCTGGGCCTCAAAATGTGCTGATTAAATGGATATTGGGAGGGGGTTACTAGGATACAAGGAGACTTGATATTAATTAACACTGACGATCCTTATTGGATTGCTTTGGTATATTGTTTCATGGTGTTTATGTTAATGTTTACGTTTTCTTGGTTTCTTGGTGATATGTAAATCTCCCTTCTCAAAATTGGTCCATTGTGAGCCAAGTAGTTCAACCTGAAACCTGATTTATGTAATTCTGACTATGAATTTATGAAAAAACATATAGGTTTAGCGTACAGATAACTGATCCATGGGGGCGGTGAGCTGCCCACTCCCCCATAAATCAAAAGGGGAGAAAATGAGGAATTGGGAGGATGGGGACAAGTGGTTAACTGGTAAGTGAGTGAACCACAATGACTTCATCTTATGACTGGAATATGAGCTAGCTCAGTTCGCTTTCCATTCAGTTATGGGTCTAGTCCCAATTCTGTCTTGCAAGAAAAGTTTACCGGCCTGTGGGATTTAGGAGAAAACATTACTGTACCATTTGAATCTAGCCCGGCACGGCTGGGAAGCTGGACTACCTCCACCTGCTGTAGATGAGGCTGACACACCAGAGCCGGCTCAGTGTTTTGGGAGGCTCTGAAGGACGGTGTGGGAGAGGAGAGGTATTAGACTGACTGCCAAACCGAAGGCCTGCAGAGCCGTGTGCTGACCTCACTGTCGTATGCCTATGAACCGTGGGCAGTATATACCAGCACCATGCCAGGAAACGGCATCACTTCCATGTGAATGGTCTTAGGAGGATTCTGAAGACCACCCGGCAGGATAAGACACCAGACAGCAGGGTTCTTTCTTGAACTAAACTGCCAAGCACTCAAACCCTGATTCATAGAGCGCGACTCTGACGGGCTGGCCACGTTGTCTGCATGCCAAACGCGGGCTTGCCTAACAGACTGGTGTAGAGAACTCACACAGGACAGGCGTTCACGTGGCGGTCAGAAGGAGCGATACAAGGATGCTCTCAAGAACGTTAGAATCAAGGGGGAGACAGGGGAGACACTGGCCCAGTGCTGTCCGGCCTGGTGCGCCCTCATCAAAGAAGGCGCTGAGCTCTATGAGTGAAGCAGAACCGCGGGAACTCAAAACAAACGTGAGATGCACAAATTCAGAGACATCCGCACTCCAAATGTTCGCGAGGACCGTTGGTGCCTGGCCTGTGCCCCTGGGCTGATCTTGACTCTCACACACAGAGACAAGGACGAGGGGCACCGGGGAAAGGAAACAAGGGCCTCTCCCGACGAGTCTGCACGGCAGCACCGCTTCAAACAGTGAAGGTAAAACAAGCTGCAGGTCCAGGGCGGGGGGAGCTTAGGGCTGAACACCCCACCTCCAGCACGGCCCGGGGGCAGCCTGAACCATGGGACACACGGCAAGGGGAGCAGAGTGCACAATCAGGACGTGTCTGCGTTACTGGGACGAAGTAAAGATTCACGGGCAGGCAGGGCAGGGCAGGCAGAAGGTCTGTCCTCAAACTGGGGAAGAAAGTCCGTCCCCCAGGGCTGTCGGCAAACCAAGGTGCTGAAGGGGAGAGGGGCTCACGACAGGCCGCCTCTGCCCTTCTGGACAAGAGGCGGCCATCTGGGAACCGCCAACACTCACCTGCAGAGCCAGCTCCTGGGCCGCCTCCCTCTGGCCTCCAAGGTGCTTCCCCTCGCTCCAGCTGGGAGATCACAGCCGGTTTGGAAACGCTGAGTCCTGCTCATTGGAAACAAGGACAGGTTGGGAATAGAGAGCCAAGCCCCAGTTAAATCCCAGCCCTGTCTCTTTTGGAAAAAGGGAACCTGAAGGCAGGTCCAGAAGATGGAACAAAGGTCCTCTGAGATATGCTCTCCACTGTGTGCAAGGGAAGGGGGAGAGGGTCCCTGGGAAGATTCTGATTCAAAGAGAAAACACGTCGTCTTGGCCTAGTTCCTGCCAAAAGGACGTATGGAGCACGAGAGCAGAAAGAAAGCAAGGGGCACACATCCTCCACAACTGCTCCACAAACGGAGCGTCTGGTGTCCAGGTGACAAAACCAGGCCGCTCCTGGGGAGCCCCAACACCCTGCATTAGTGGTCTCTACATGGGACATAACTGGGCAACACCCGAGACACCTGCAGCGTTCACTGAGAGAGAGGCAAAGCCCCACCCCGATCCCGGGTCCCGGGGTGCCCCCTCCTCACCCAGGCACACCAGGTTCCGGTAGTTCTCCAGCATCACCTCCTGGTACAGCTCCTTCTGGGCAGGGCCCAGCTGCCCCCACTCCTCAGGGGTGAAGTCCACGGCCACGTCCTGGAAGGTCACCGACTCCTAAAACACCAAGGGCAGACATGCTCATCCACGGACCACCCCTTACCTCTGCGCAGGACAGGTGGGGAGCGATGCTCGTTGCTTGGGCTTCGGGGTGTTCAAAGGTCAGTCTCTGAGGACCCACTGTGTGCCTCAGTTAAACCAGATGCCAATTCAACAACAAAACAACGGCAGGTCTTTCCCTCTCTGGCTTTCAAGGCACCGCCACCCAATGACCCCGAGACACAGGAAGTGCAGCACTCATTATCATGCCCATTCTGCTGACTGGAGAAGTGAGCCTAGGAAAGGCAAGGTGCTAGAGCACGTGGGAGCTGGCCCGCAAACCCCCATCTCTCCTGCGCTCTCCCCAGAGGAGCAGGAGGGAGGCAGCCGTCTGCCGGCACACTGGAGATGCTCCAACCACAGCAAACACCACCAGGCTCTACCTGAATCTTCGTTTCTTATTCAAGACAATAGGGGCAGCAGAGTCAAGAAGACCCAGGTTCAGGTGATTACTATGGACTGTGTGACCCTGGCAGTGCTCTAAGACCCTCTCTGAGAGAAGCTACCAGCTGGTCCTGGCGAGCGAAGCCCTGATCAAATTAGAGCTCTAAAGCCCAACCCTATGAAGCAGCCATGGACCTAGAATCAGGGAGATCTGAGTTCTGATCTGTACTAGCTGGATGACCCTGGGCAAGCCACTCAACCTGTTTGCCTCAGTTTCCCCAACTGTAAAATAGGGGCTAATCACAGTACCTGTCTCCCAGAGTGGTTGGGAGCTCCCAATGAAATTATATGCGCAAAGTGCTAAGCACAGTATATGTACTGGACGCTTGACCAATGTTCACTCCCCTCTCCCCTTTCCCCCATCGCTATTCCAAATCTACTCTTAATCCCCATTAAAAACCAAATATAATTCTGTCTTGGTAACGCAAGAAATTTGGTTTTGAAATTTTGAAGCATCTTCAAAACGTCTTCCTTCCTGTACTTTCTGAGCAACAGAAGCGCACTGACGACAGCAGGCCTCACCCATGGCCGAGCCTCTGCCGGGCAAAGGCAGGCCAGCAGCTCTGACCTTCCTCTGACCAGCGGTCAGCCACACATTTACGTGACCATAACAGTGACGGTAAAAGCGGGGCCTCCCAGAGGAAAGCAGTACTACTGAAACACAGGGATGGAGATCCATCGCGCAACTCCCACCCGCAGACCCCGGGGAAGGGCTGCTGCTTTCGGGCTTCTCCTCCGGGATTTGAGAGTAGAGGAAGCTGCGGCTTTGGGGGCTCCAGGCCTGGACCCCGCTGACAGAAATTCCAGACTCCCTCCCCACGCCAAGCACCCAGACAGCCACAGCTAAGGAGGAAGAGGCAGGAAAGGCATCCTTGGCTTGGAAGGCAGAGGGAGGTGGTGAGGCTGGAAGGAGCCCGCCCCAGGCCCCACGGGCCATGAACTGTGCTGGGCACGGTGCACACAAAGACTAAACCAAAGCATCCCTAGTCCCAAGAGCACAGAGCTATGTGCTCAGCTAACTACCCCCAGAGGACCTTGACGAAGCTCAGAGCAAGAACCTCCAGGGGCCCAGGACGGGCACGCTGGGGAAGTGAGCCAGCAGGGCAGGGCATCCCGGGCCTGGGGCACAGCGCCAAACAAGACAGAGCACGTGAGGGAGGGTAAGGGAGCCCTTCCCTCATCCGCCTCCAGCTACACAGGGCGCCCCACCCCCCAGGTCCCTCCACTCCATCCCAGGCCAAACCCTGGCAGACAGGGGTCACCTACCTGAACGACAAACATACTGAACCGTGAGATCCCCACGACGTCCCACTCTACGGCCGTCAGCCCCACGGGGAGCAAACCCGCTTTCATCTATCGCTCCACTCTGGCCGCCACCTCCACACCGCCTGCTCCTTCGCTGTGCCTGGCTCCCCTTTGCCCCTCCCAGCCCCCCCACCAGCTACCTCTCCTCCTTGGAGATCACTGGGCCCGCCTGCTCCAGAGCCTGGTAGCGGCCGTCTGATGACCCCGAGGGCACCCCAGGACCCTCCCCGCCCTTCCTCAGCGAGCTCAGAGCCTGGCCCCCATCCCTCTGTCCTCCTTCCCCTCCCCACCTCCAGCTCCTACTAGACAACTAGGACCCCTTCCCAACTTTCCATCACCCCCCTGGCACTAAGGCGTGAAACCAAGGTGTCATCCTAAATTCTTCACCTCGCCCCTGAACCCTAACACCTGCATCCAATCAGCGCTCACTCCTGGTCACTTCTACCTTTCGACCAGCTCTGGGATGCGCCGCAGACCCTCATCACCTCGCGCTTAGGCTCTGCAGTAACTGCTGGGGGTCTGCCTGGCCTCCATCAGCCCCCAGCAGTCATCCTGAAGCCCAGGCTGACCACAGCACCCGTCCTCGATCACCTCCGCAGGCTCTGTCTGGCCTCCAGGCCTTTCTGGTCCGTAATCCAGTGACCCCGGCCTCCTGACCGCCAGAATGCTCTCTGTCCTCATCGCTACCACCTGGGCTTCCCTGACGTCTCAGCTGAAATGCCACCTTCTCCAAGCCTTGCCCAACCCTGCCTAATTCTAGCCTTCTCTCTACTGATAATCACCAGTTTATCCCGTCCAGAGCTCGTCTGGACACGGTTGTCTGCCCACTGTTTCCCCTGTTAGAGCGGGAGCCCCCCAGAGGGCAGGGCTTGACTCCTGCCTTTCTTTGTGTCTGCGACCACTCCGGGCACCCGGGGCCTTGCCACTAATGGGGTGCTCCAGCTACAGGGAAAAGGCCTCCGTCCTGGTCGGGCTTCGGGAGACCACCGCTCTTCAGCAGCTCCAGACCCGGACCGCATGAGGAGGTCCATGCCAGGCAGGTGATGTTGGCTACTGTCTGGCAGGGGCCCCGTGGCCAAACTTTCAGGCGCCCCGCGGCCAAACTTCCAGGCGCCATCCCCCTCCTCCTCCCTGGGGTCTGGGCACTCAGCTCATCTCCAGGACAGAGACCCCGGCCCTGCCCCCTCCCCCGCCAGGGCCCATGCTTTGCACTAGGCCCCCTCCCCATCACCCCCTAAGCCATCTCACGGAGGAGAGAAGCTCAGCGCACAAGGAGAAATCGCAGACCCCCTGACGCTCTGGACCGCCTTCCTCTTTGGTCAGGGAACAGCTAAAGGCCATCCGGTCACCAAAAAGAGCCTTGACCAGGAGGAACGGAGGAGACACGCGGTCCGCGTGGCCGACGCCGACACCAGGCCAGTCTGACGCCGCCTGACCCCGGCTCCTCTCTGCCCCGCCCCGATGACCTTCCTTCGGCCAAGCCTAAGGCGAGGCGGGGGCCTCACCTTCCCGGGGTCTAGACGTGGACTCACCTGCGGGGCCGAGGCTGTCCGGGGCACAGGGGCCATCCCGTTGTCCAGCGAGCTCCGGCCTCGGGGAAGGAAGATCAGACGGCCGCGCTGCGGGGGGGAAGGCGAGCGTGAGCCCGGGCGACCCAGTCAGCGCCAGCGTCGGGGGCTAAGCAATGTTAGTTACAGCCACTGGGCGCTCCCGGGGAAAACGGGGCGCAGCCTCTGCCCTCGGCAGGCTTCTGCTCGCGCAGGCGGCAGGAAGAGGGGGCCCTGCACCGAACCCCGACAAAGGCCGGGAATCCGGCGCGCTGCCCACCGCGGGAGGCCCGGCGGGAGCGGGGCGGCCCCTGCCGCAGCGGGCGGCTCCCTGCTCCCGGCGCCGGAGGTCCTGGGGAGCCCCGGAACGCCCAAGGGCGGGAGGAGCAGCTGGGAGCGGCGGCGCTTCTGATTGGCTCGCAGACCGCGCCCCTCCGGGGAAGACCAATGGGCGCGCCCATTCGCAGGAGGGGGCGGGGCCGCGAGGGCTCGGAGGCGGACTGCGCATGCTCCAGCCCCTCCCCTCGGGACCAGCCCCCGGGGTTCGAAACCAGGCGCCGGGAGCCCTGAACCCCGTCAGCCGCTCCCCCGCCCCGGGCTCTGGGCCCGGGCCCCCACGCCCCCGGCAGCCACTCACCCCGGCTCGAGACGCGGGGCTCGGCCCGGACCCCGGTACAGACTGCGGACGCAGCAGAGCTCAGGCGGACCCCAACGCGGAGGTCGCGGAGGGCGGAAGTGGAAATGACGCACACAGGCCGCGACGCTGACGTTCTATCCCGGGACCGCTGGCCGCGTCTCTATGGCAACCGGGGCGGGTCGCGAACGTCGTGCTGGGAGTTGTAGTCCTAGCCGCTGCCGGCCTGGCAGGGGCGGGGTAAGAGGACGCGCCGGCCCCTCCCGTGCAGACACGCCTTCCCAACTGTCCCATCTTGACAGATGAGGAAACTGAGTCACGGGGTGGCCCCGGCGCGGCGCCCTCTCCGCCCTTTCTCTCCCGGATCCGCCGGTCTGGAATCTCCTCCGAGGGAGATCGCGGCCTCCCCCGGGGGTGGGGGGGGGGGGGTCTGGTCACCACGTGACAGTCCTTCCTAACCCGGCCCCAAAAAGCATTTGCGGTTCTTGGAGAGCGTGCAAGGCAGTAACCTACGCGCACATATGTATGTATGTATGTATGTACATACACACGTATGTAATCTCGAGGCAGCGGGGTCACACAGCTAGCGAGTGTCAGGTGTCTGAGGCCGGATTCGAACTCAGGTCCTCCTGACTCCCGGGCCGGCGCTCTCTTCCCCAGCGGCCCCAATGTCATTTGTCTTAACCCGATGAGGTGGGAGCTGTTATTACCCTTCTCCTTTCACAAATGAGCAGAAGTGACTCGCGCAGGGTCACACAGCCGAGTGTCAGAGGCAGGATTGGAATGCAGGTCCAGCCCGCTGTCCGCGGTGCTCCGGAGGCAGAGACAAAAAGGAAACACCGCTTGCCTCCGACTACAAAAAGGAAACACTGCCTCCGACGGGCTTATATTCTCTCGGAATAAAACCATGGATCTGTCCACACGCTTTTTAATAAGCACTTGCTCTGTGCCAGGAACCGTGCCAGGTGCTAGGGACACAAAGAAAGGCCAAGTCCCTGCCCTTGGCGAGTTGACATTCTAAGGCCGGAGACACCAAGTAAATACCTAGGTACCTGCAGGGTGCGAGAAGGTGCGATGGACTGCGAGGAGTGGGACTGGCGTGGGAGCCGCCAAAGGAAGCAGGAGGGGCGCTAGCGTTCCAGGCTCAGGGCACACCCAGTGCAAAGGAGATGCGGGTCTCTGTGCTGGCTGCAACCGGCTCTGGAGAGAGCCCAGAGAGAGCCCTCTAAGAAGAGTGGTGAGGAGTCCGGCAGTCAAGAGGGAAACCCTGAGCTTGGGGCGTTAGTGGGTGCTGACCTGCTGAACGGGTCAGACCTGTTCTTTAGGAAGATAATCTGGGCAGCTGTGTGGAGCATGGGTTGGAGGCAAGGAGATGAGAGCCTGAGGAAGCCTTAGGGTGGTGTGCGCAGACAGAGGCCAAATGGAAGACTTTGTGAAGGCAGAAACCAGATTTGGAAAAGTGATTGGGAAAAGAGGCACCGAAAAGGCGATTTCCTCAAGAAGATCCAGCGATGCAGGGCTCTGGAAAGACCTGCTGCAGTCGTGGGCACTTCAGCCACGTTCTGAAGGAAGTCAGGGAGTCCTAGAGCTGGGAGTGAGGAGAGGGAGTACTGTGGGCACCGGGAAAAGCCAGTGCCAAGGCCTCAACACAGGACATGTGATGGAAGAGACTTTAGGGGCCTCCTAGTCCAACCCAGAACCCCTGACAAATGGACCAGGCAACTCGGTGGCACAGTAAATAGAGCACAGGGCCTGGAGTCAGGAAGACCTGAATTCAAATCCAACCTCAGATATGTGCTAGCTGTGTGACCTAGGCGAGTCACTTACCCTATTTGCCTCAGTTTCCTCATCTCTAAAATGAGCTGGAAAAGGAAATGGCAAACCACTCCAGTATTTCTGCCAAGAAAATCCCAAATGGGTCACGAAGAGTCAGACAGGACTGAAAGGACCCCACAATAACAACATCAATGGTCGTCCGGCCTCAGCTTGAAGACTTCCAGTGGGGAAGCCACCTCTGGAGGCAGAAGTTCTAGTGAGGAGTTCTCATTTTCAGTAAGTTTTCCCAGACACCCAACACACTCTGGCCTCTTTGAGACTTGCCCTCGGGGGCTAACCCCTCCTCTGCGCTTACCCTTCGAATGAACGAAGACTTCCTCCGTGGCAACGTGCCCATTTCCTTTAAGTGATCCTTCAATGAGGAAGATGCCAAGGCCCTTTCCAGCCTCTTTGCTCCATTCCTAAGGCTGTCCAGCTTTTCAACGTCCTTCTTAAATGGTGTCCCCCAGAAGGGACCACAGTACTCTGGAGGAGTTCTAATAAGGGCAGAGTGCAGCGAGGCTCATTTTCCCATTCGTGGAAGCGATGCCCTTAACATACCCCAAGATTCTAGTCATTTTTTTTGGCTCCCACATCACATTGTTGATAAATGGTGAGCTTGTGGTCCAAAATAATTCCATCTGTGGGGAAAAACAAATTAGTTAATTTGATTACGATGTAACATCTTGGAGGCAGTTAGGTGGCGCAGTGGCTAGAGCTCTGGCCTTGGAGAAGGACCTGAGTTCAAATCCAGCCTCAAATGCATAACATTCACTAGCTGTGTGACCCTGGGCAAGTCACTTAATCCCATTGCCTCGTTTAAAAAAAAAAGATGTAAAAATCTGTGAACAGGAGTAATTGCCAAGCTTAGAAAGGTAGACTTGAATCAAAGTATAAAGGCTTTGAATTCCAAACAAAGGCGTCTGTATTTTATCTTAAAGGTGGGAGGGAACCACTGGAGGTTTGAGGGCAGGAAAGTGAGGTGAGCTTCAGAAACATCACTTTGGGAACTCAGTGGAGAACAGATTGGAAGGAAGAGAGTTGAGGTAGGGAGAACCATTCGGGGGCTATTGGAATAGTTTAGGTGACAGGTGAGGAGGGCCTGGATTTCCTCCTGGATTTCCTGGTGGCCGCATGAGTGAGGAGAAGGGGGCGTGAGAGATTGCTGTGGGAAACTTGGAAGCTGATTACATGTGTCGGGTGAGGGAGGGTGAAGAGAGCTGAGGACAGGAAAGTGTCAAGTCTGAGCAACTGGGAGGATAATGGCGGCCTCCACAGACAGAGGCAGCTTGGCACGGTGGGAGGAATGTTGGATTGGAGATGACAATACGGCATCCAGGCATGAATAGACAAAAGGCAGATGGACTGGGGAGAATGGAGGTCAGGAGAGACACTGGGCTTGGATATACAGACCACAGGAATAAACATTGAACTCATGGGAGCTGATGAGGTCACTAAGTAACAAAGTATGTGGAGAAGAGAGGACCCAGGACAGAGCCTTGGGGCATACCTGATGCGGATGAAGATGGAGAGAACCAAGGAAAAGCAGGACCACCAAAACCAGGGAAGAGGGAGCGAGGAGAAGGGGTGATCCACAGGGCCAAACGCAGAGATGGAGGAAAACGGGGATTGAGAAAAGGCCGCCGGATCTGGCAGTTTGTTCGCGGATCACTTCAGAGGGCAATTTCAGTCTAACGACGAGGTTAGAAGCCAGACCGCAGAAGGTCCAGAAGAAGGTGAGAGGGCAGGAAGCGGAGGCATTGGGTACAAATGGCTTCCTCCAGGAGATTGGCTGAGAAGGGGAGAGAGCTATAGGAAGAGAGCTAGCAGAAGCATCGGCACTCAGTCGTTCAGTCGTGCCCGGCTCTGGGCGACCCCTCGGACCACACTGTCCATGGAGTTTTCCTGGCAAAGATACTGGAGTGGTTTGCATTTTCCTTGTCCAGTGGATTAAGGCAGACTGAGGTTAAGTGACTTGCCCAGGATCACAAAGCTAGTGAGTGAGGCCACATTTGAACTCGGCTCTTCCTGACTCCAGGCACAGTGCTCTATCCACTGAGCCACCTCGATGCAGGCATGGTAAGATCTGAAGAGACTATTTTTAACGATGGGGGAGATTTGGGCATATGTGGGCAGGCAGAAAGGAGGCGGAGGGAGAAGAGAGAAAGAGGAGGGGAGAGACAGAGACAGAGACAGAGACAGAGAGCCCTGGGCCTTGCCCTAGCACTCATGGCCACCTCTTCCCACCTGCGTAATCCCATGGTCTTGTTGCTGTGTTTATTCCTTCCTGCTTCTGGTGCTATTTTTTTTTCTTGGCCATTAAAATCAGTTCATTTAAATGTAAAACAGTTTCACATCCGTTTTAATTAGTTGTTTTCGTGGTTAACAGTAGCTCACACTGGACGTCCAGCAGACATTTAAAACTAAACACGTCCCAAACAGAGCTCCTCGCGCGTCCCTCGACCCTCCTCAGTCCTCCCTGCCCTTCCTGCAGAGCTCGCACAGAGGGGATGGCAGCAGCCGTAGAGGCCCCACTGGCCCGCTAGCCCACGTTCACCCAGACGAGCTTCCTTTGTGCCAGCAGGGACTCAGTCCTCGGCCGCTCCTCCGGAGGAGGGAGGGCAGACTTGGAAGGCGCTGAAGAGGCCTGGTTCTTGGCATCTCTGAGTCCGGCTTCACACACCACCTATCAGGACATCCCTGGCTCCATTCCCATGCCTGGATCTGAGGCCTGCAA